CTTGGTGTCATCAGCGAACTTGCTGAGGGTAAATTCACATAGTGAGTGCTGGCCTGCTTAATGTCAGGGAGTAACCATAAAACACTGGTTTTTTAATGTTTTTGGCTTTTGTATTTTTATGAAAGTAGTCAAAGCTTTTAGCGTAGAAGGCTTTCATTTTTAGTAATACCTCTGCTTTTTATGTGTAAGAAGTTATATAAGGAAAAACAGTAGTAATGGTAGTATTTTTTTTTTAAAAATCAGTAGAAGTTCATTGGAACAGGCTGAACCTGTTGTTGCTTGTGTCAAAATCTGTGCGTGCTCTTTCGAACTCAAAATAAGACAGAAACAAAAAGAGGAGGGGAAAATTATAGCAAAGTAGAAAATCACCTCATCTGCTGTTCTAGTGCTTTCTTCAACTTCATTCTGGCAAGAGACAAGCACAGTGTACACTGTAAGTCCCAGCAAACTTATAGTAAGTTTGAGAGCAATGACTTAATCATTTAAGTCATTGCTCTCAACTGCTTTTCTGTCTGTTAGTTGAAAGCACTGATATCAGACTTATGGCACAGAACACAAGAGAAAAATTATAAGAAAAAGAAGAAAATCAGGGCTGAAAATTTTGGAAGCACAGGGAATGGCAATAGCAGCAACGCCACCACATTGCTCCTGCTGGAGACTGTTCATGAGTTAGTAAGGACAAGGTGGTGATGGTGTTATCTAGGCACCTCTGTATCTTCTAGCTGAGATAGAACTTTGTGTGAGGACTTTCAGGGCCTAACAATGTCTAAATGGATACTAATTGCAGCCCTAGGAACCAATGAGTATCATTCTCCTTTTCTGTTTATGTGTCAATATCAAGTTTTTAATTAAATATCTGCTGTCAGTATCAAGTTTTTAATTTCCTCTGGCTTTTTCAGCAAAATGGATGGCAGTGGTAGCAGCTAACCCTTTGTTACTTTGCTCACCAAGTATGACAATGCATTTGGTGTTGTTTCGTCATGTTTATCATGAGCAGTACCTGTGAATTTCTTATTTATACTAATCATAGAATCATAGAATGGTTTGGGTTGGAAGGGACCTCAAAGATCATCTAGTTCCAACCCCCCTGCCACGGGCAGGGAAACCCTCCACTACACCAGGTTGCCCAAAGCCTTATCCAACCTGGCCTCATGCATTCCTTCAATCTCTAACTTTTGTTTACTTTTCATGAGACAGTGTTAGGAGACAGGCTTGGAATTCTCTGATCTTAAACAACCGACACTACGAATTTCTGCACAATGTATCTTAAGAGATTAGTCTTTTCTCTCCCTCACTCATTAAACAAGTTATTGTATGCAGACATGGCTTCATTAAAGCCAAAATTTTTGTGAGAGTTTCTCAGTCCAAGTGTCCACAGAGGGAAGACATAAGATAATTTTTTTCCCATTTTCCTTTATTCATTCATTCATATTTGTGTTACTATTATTATCACCATTTATAGACTTCTTGTTCTGGAGTGTATTGACTAGCAGATGGAATTTACATCCACAGTCTTTTTCCTTGTGTAACTATGGATGAGGAGTTGGTCCAGACGAGGGCCACGAAGATGATCCGAGGGCTGGAGCACCTCTGCCATGAAGACAGGCTGAGAGAGTTGGGGCTGTTCAGCCTGGAGAAGAGAAGGCTCCAGGGTGATCTTCTAGCAGCCTTCCAGTACTTAAAGGGGGCCTACAGGAAAGCTGGAGAGGGACTTTTTACAAGGGCGTGTAGTGATAGGACAAAGGGCAATGGCTTTAAATTGAAAGAGGGCAGGTTTCGATTAGATATAAGGAAGAAATTTTTCACTCAGAGGGTGGTGAGGTACTGGAACAGGTTGCCCAGAGAAGTTGTAGATGCCCCATCCCTGGAAGTGTTGAATGCCAGGTTGGATGAGGCTTTGGGCAACCTGGTGTAGTGGAGGGCTTCCCTGCCCATGGCAGAGAGTTGGAACTAGATGATCTTTGAGGTCCCTTCCAACTCTAACCATTCTATGATTCTATGATTCTATGACTTCTAGCCTTCAGAGAAATGGGTTACGCTTTTGCATCTCATTGTTGGTACTTCTTAGAATTACATAGCACACACACATCTGTATAGCTTCATAGCACCAGTCTTTGGGTTCTGTAGGTCATAGGTATGACATGCCCTTGTCTGCAGTAGTGAGCATATTCTTCAGATCCCTATAAGTGTATTCCTGAGAGTGCAGAGGGAACAGCACACAAAGTCATGTTCCAAGAACATGGTAAACCCAGGCTGTTGCTGCTTTGCAGTGGTTTTGCTGTTAGTGTAAGAGAATCTGTTCCAGAGAATCCTGTGAATAACACAGTGGCTTTTTTGGGGGGGCGGAACTTCAGCCTTCAACCCTTGTATATTCTCCCTATGCTTAGTAGGATAAATAGAGGCGATATCTGTTTCTTCCAGGACAATGCATTGTCACAGTAATTTTAGCATGGTGATCCACTTCGCTGGGAAGAGCCAAAATATATCAATAGATCACTTATTGTAAATGGGAATTATTAGTATTTGAAAACAACTTTTAAGATTGAAAAAATTACAAATAGATGTTTCAAGGATTATTTTGCTTGGAGTTTTTAAAGTTATTGTCAATCATATAATGAGGATAAAACTTACTTTTCTTTGAAATTGGCACCAGTTCTTTTATGATACTCAGTGTATTTTAAAAGCAGATATAGTGCATAATTTATGCCATTATCTGTTGTAAACTATTTTTACATTACACATATATGACCAAATTTTCTCTGAATATGTAACAGATAATCTGTTCATTAATTTCTGTACATTTGTAACAATTGACAATTGGAAAGATGCATTCATAACTTTTAAGAGGCCTAGCTTAGTGGTTAAATCACATGAATGAGGCTTGCAAGTCAGAAGAAATTAATTCCCTCTTTCTATGATGTCGCAGACTTTGTTGTGAAATGGAAGTATTCCAGTTCTCTGAACAAATAGATCTAAATTTCAAGCTGTTTAACACCCACAATTTCTGTTTCATTTGACAGGCAAAAGTATGTTCAGCATCTCTGCAAAGATTAAACATTAGGTATCCAGGAACCAAAATGTTCCCATTACAGATCACTTTTAAAAGGTGGATCACAATCTCTGCGTACCTGTCTTGCCTCATGTGTTAGTTATGGTTAGAGGCATCCGCAATAATTTGTTTAAGAACACTTACATTGCATAGTTTAGTCTTTTAGCTCACAGCTCTGCCTTTATCAATTTAGGATTTCAGTCTTTGGCACCACCTCATATCCATGATATATACACTGAAGTGGGCTTCTCTATTTAGTCCCTTCTTTTTCCTTTCTCCTCTAAATCTTCTATTTTCTCTGCAGTTTTGCATTGTTGTTCTTTATATATGTGTGCCTTTGAGTAAATGATGGTTGAATTCATTAACATGTATATATTGAGATCTCGTGCTGGAGAGGAAGAACACCTAGTAGTATGCATTATATCTCTATTCGCAGAAGGAGAATATGTTCCTCTTGAAAAAGAACAGCAACCTAACATGCCACCTGAACGCTCCAGAACAGCTTCAGTAACTGAACCTGAACCAGGTCAGAACATGAAGTTGCTTCTTTGCAGTGTATGCGAGTTTTCCTACTCTTTTTATTTCTTCCTATACTGGCAGGTTCCATGTGAGGCTATGGATAGCCTGTCAAAAACCATTCATCATCAAATAACAATTTTTAAATTAATTTATATTCATAATATTTCTTTGCAGAAAGAGCCATTATTTTTATTTGTGTGCTGATTTAAATAACAATGTACAAATTTAGTTAAGTAATTGGACCTTGTTTATTTTCCTGGAGAAGCATCAGTATGTACTGTATCAACATAATGAATTTGGCATTTTCAAAGTGTCTTTGTAAACTAATAATATATATTATATTGTAATATAATAGTTCATAATTGGGGGGGAGAAAGTAGCATTAAAAAACCAATACACTATATCTGAGGAAAATAAAAATAATCCTAAAGCATAATGATATTTTTTAAATGCAAAATTATTTTAGAGGAGCATTGCCTTCTATGTACTATTTGATTTTCAGAAATCGTACTACCTGAGTTTGCAGATGATGATTTTCCAGATATACCAGAAATGGAAATAATTAAAAGGAAGATTGACCTTTTCATGCATGACTGGCAAACAGTGGAGTCAGAAATCAAGCAGTCATCTCTAGTTCAGGTTGTTGTTTTAGAGGTTGCTGAGCAAACTCCAGAAAGTCTGCTTAATCAAATTGTGCAGGTTATGGAAAGTAAGTAATACAATTTATGTGATTTACACTTAACCTACCAAGAGGGATTTTGGAGAGCTTGTATGATGAATGTATTGGGAGGGAGCTTATATAGAGTTCTGTATTACTCACATGAAGTGGGAACAGGACATGCTGTGTTTTGTGGGTAAGCTGAAAAGCACACTAGCAGCCTTTGAGACAAAGGAAGAGGGGGGAATATAGATATTTGAAAAAAAAATATATGGCTATACAAATATTTACATAATAGCTCTCTAAACATTCTGACAGCACGTTTCCCCAGTAACTTGCTCTATCTGTTCATGTCAGGATACTTGTTTGAGAAATAGACGGATAACAAAGGTTCACTAATGTACAATATTCATTAAGTCCATGAGACTTTCAGAGTGTGTAATAATCTAATCTACTCACCTGCATAGGTGGTGTTTCAAGACTGGATTGTTGCCGTACTGATATTATTTTGTCACATTACTGGTTTTGATTTGTGTGCTCAAATCTCTGACAATTTTGAGTACTGGATAAATAATATTAATCCTACATTTTTTTCTATCGTTACTACAATGCAAGTGTTTAATAACCAAATCATCTAATGTGCTAGCTTTATAATCAAATAAAATTTGACTGATGATTTTCCCCTGTGAACAATAGGAAAAAAATGTTGCAAACAGTAAAGGCACTATCTGCATGTGTTTGTATAATGCTTTTGTACTACAAGTTCCCATTGAAAATACCAATTTTCTTCAACTAAAAAACAACCAGTAAAACTTGCATTTTTGGGGGAAGCAATATATTAATTCCTATATCCAGTGAGAACTTTTGTTCTATGAGTAGGAGAAATGCAATATGCAGTTGGCATGACTTGCTTTCACATATGTGCTTATTTTTATGGACAAAGAGAATATATTCTGGCATAGTCAAATGAAAAATATTGAAACAGAAAAAATAAATAAATTAACCTTTTCAGAACCTTTTAAATATCACGGTTGGGAATTATCTGCTGAAGACTTAGATGAGGAAGCAGAAGATCTGGCTGCTGAAGAGGAAGATGAAGAAGAAGTTGAAGAAGAGGAAAATGAAGATGAACAAGTAAGAATACTAGCTTTGTCCATTTATGCTTTTATTTTAACTCATTTACTTTCAGTTTGAACATAACCTCAGAGAAGTCCAATTTTGCACCTGATTTTGTATGATCCAATTTCAGCCTTCTTACAGAATAACTATCAGCATATGCTTCAAGAACACTTTCACTGTATTCCTATGTTCTGGCTGATGGTAGTGCAACTCCAGTGAGAAGCATAAATACCCTATGCTAATAGAGAGCATGAATGTACCTAGTTTTGCCAGATGGCAAAGAGGGGTTTAATTAAAGAAACAAATGTGAACTTTGATTTCTGTCAACCAACAATGACTCTGTGAGCCATCACGTAAACATCAGAAGATGTAGAGTCCTAATGTGCAATCCTCTGTTTGATCTCAGCTATTGATAATTTTCAAACACCCACTTTAATGAAATTAAAGGTCTAGCTTCACCTTTCTTTTATTTCCATCCTATATTGGAAGTGCCCATGCCCAAATTTAACAGTACAAGATATCCATATACTGTACTGGAGCAGTATTAACTAGATTTTTTTAGAAATTTTATAAAAATGTTATTGGTTAACTAATCTGACTTCATAATACCAATTCTCATTGCCTTTTCTGAAAAGGTCTACTTCTGCACATTTAGAAGCAACAGAAAGTGAGTTTCAAGAACACAGCAGGAAAAGATTTTATCACAGATACTTCTAGCTTAATTTTGGTCTTCAACAGCTGACTGATATTATAATTTCAAATTTAAAATGGTCATTCTTTTCTCAATAATTGTCTCACTAGACTTGACAGTTTGTTTTCCTACTCTGAATCTAAAAATTGTGCATTTTCATAGACTTATATTCAGCTTACAAACTATCTTGAGAATAGAATTCTCATTCAATGCTCAGTTGATGTATTTGACATTATTGAATTTGATCTACTTGATCTACTTAATCTAAGTAAACTACTGAATTCAAATAGTTTTTGAAAATTTTTGTAATTTTTTCAGGATGAAGAAAAAACTAGGGAAAAGAAAAGGCACATGGGAGACACTAAACACTTTTGTCCAGTCAGTCTGAAAGAGAACTTTGTCCTTTACCCAGGACTCTATGAACATGCAGCTAAATATCGAGAAAAGCTTTATTACTTTTCAACTTCTGAGTACAGAGATAAATTTTTGAAGAACCCTGAGGAGTATGTGGCTCACAATGAACCAATACAAGTAAGAATTTTCAAAATTGCTTAAAGCAGATAGTAACAGATTAAAATCACTATTTTCCATTCCCATTTGTAATTTTTTATTGTTGCTGATTTTTTCTAGGTAGCAATAAATATATCAGGCAAGTCCTTGAAACAAATAAAACACACTGCTTCTTCAGTGTCTTCTTAGTGTACATTTAAATTAACACATTGAATTAATAATGCAAATAAAGCAGAAAAGAGAGGAAGATTATAGGGGCTTACAATAATCATAAGATGTGATTTACAAATCACAAATATTGGGGGTTTTATCACTATCTTTAAGTCTTTTTTTTGCAAGCAGAAAAAGGTCAAAAGAAGGGAAGATTTACCAGAATTGTCTAATAAGGTTTCATTTTTAACTACTGGCATCAACAGCCATAGTGTGTTTGTTCAGTATCCAGAGAGTAGGTATTCTGTTTGGAACAGCAGTAGAAGGCCTGGAAAAGTTAAAATGCAAAATGATGTGACTGGTTTTGATACAATTTTTATAACGATATTTTAGAAGTGCAAAACAGTAGGAGGTGCACTGTAGACTCTAAACTTGTAAAATATTCCAATTCTTTCCTATAGGCTCCTCCCTTACGAGTGTTCTTACTTGGGACTCATGGAGCAGGTAAAACTACTTGTGCACGACAGATAGCAGACAAATTAGGCATTTTCCATATTCAGTTTGAAGAATATCTACAGGAATTGATCTTACCCAAAACTAAAGAGAAAGTTGGGCCTGATTTTCATGAAGAACCTGAAGAAGATGACAATAAAATGCCAATTCTATCACAGGAACTGGACGACTTCTCTCAGACCGTGTCTAAAATTGAGGCTGAAAAAAGCAAACAGGTAATAATCTGATCTTTTTAATGTCCATACACAAAATAACCATTTTCAGACCAGAACAGCAATTTGTTATAAAATTTTAGCTTGATAAAAATCACTTAGGTTAAATTATTTACTTGATGAAATGTAGAAACAATAGCTCTTGACAGTGTTTTCTTATGAATGCCACAAACATTCTTCAAAACATTTCCAAGGATTATGTATGCATTTTTTCTAAACAGTAGCGGTAGATGCTAAATGGGGCAAAGGAAGATAGACTGAGGAAAAAAAATCAAGGTCAGAATAACGACGGGAAGGTATGGTTTCCTTCAAGTGTTTATAATACGCAGGTTCAGTCTGGTGCTTGTGCTCCAGTTGCATGGGAGTTTAGAAACGTTCACCAGCAGTGCTTTCTGCTCTCTCTTGGGGCAAAAGAATAGAACGCCTCTACCAGCCCTTCAGTGTAAGCACACCTTGTCAAAAAAGTCAGAAATAGTTCAGTGTTCATAACAGGGTAAACTAGTATTTTTTTAATACAGTAGGTTTTGTAATCTGGATTGTAGTGTTGTCTTTGCCTATTGGCAGCAGAGTTTCAACCCAGAAAAAAAACTCTTAGGTAGCATAAAATATGCCTTGTAATTGAAAAACTTTAAAATAGGTGGATATTCATGATATTGGTAAAATAATTCACGAATGATAGTTTTCAGAAAATCAGTTCTTTTTCTTAATCAGATTGAATACTGGTTGAAAATTGTGAAATATACATTCTAAAACTCATCTCTTACAGGGTGTAATTTCCTTGAACAATTTACATAATTTACATTTACATGAATGTTTATCAGGAGAGAGTGATTTCTTTTATTAGACAGTGATGTGTTGGGAAAAACAGATAAGGTTTCAATGCAAATGAATTCTTTAGAGAGCAATGGATATGATAAAAGCCTTTATTGTGTGGAGAAGTCTCAATGCACAGGTGCACAGCATATAAATCTTTCAAAAAATGCCTAGTACAAAGACATTGAAAATCTACCTCCTATACAATAGAAATAAGGATTTATCCAACTCTCAAAGCTTCGGGAAGAAATAAGTTTCTGCATCACATTCTAAGAGCCTTTTTTTTTTTTTTTTTTGTGCTCCTGATACTTGCTATGTTCCTTCAAGTTACTAGTCATCAAATACCTTCAAAGACTTCCTACCACAGGATCTAAGGAAGCATGCAGGAGGGGAAGCAGGCTACAGAGGAGGCATACAGAAACAACATCCAGGCACAGTATTAGGATGATGAGCCCTCAATGGAAGTGGAAACTAGTGAGGGATCTGAAAGGTGGCAAGGAGAATTGCTACAGGAACAACTGTAGCAAAAGAAAGACCTGGAAAATATGAGTCCACCACTGAGTGGGGCAGGTGGCCTTTTGATGAAAGACACTGAAAAGACTGAGATGCTCAATGCCTTCTTTACCTTGGCCTTTACAAGTACAGTCTAGCCTGTGGCCTTCTAGGTCTCTGTGCCTAATAAGAAAGCATGGGTAAAGAGTGGTACCACTTACAGCAGAATAGGATCAAATTTGGGATCATTTATGTAATCTGGGTGTATACAAGTCAATGGGCTACATTCACAGGTGCTAAGGAAACTGCTAAAGGTGCATTCAAGGCTGCAATCTATTGTCTTGAAAAGCAGGGAAGATCCCTAATAACTGGAAGGTAGTGTTACTGCTGAAATAATACAAGAGCAAGTAATATTGGAAGCAAATGCTTCAACACAGATGGAGTACGGATCAAAATCATGGATGTCAGAACAAAAATTCATGTTTTCATCAGTTAAATCTAAGAAGAAGTTCTTTTGGCAAGTCAGTTTGCAACTTGTTCATCACAGCCAAAAAGATGGCAAGTGTTCCTGGCACTGATGGTTGTGGCGGTCTCTCAGCTTTCTTTTTTTGACATCAATACATATCTTACACTAAGGCACTTCTGTTATTATCTTTTCCTCATCATTTTTTCATCTGCTGGTAAACAATCTTCTTCTACATTAGTATTCTTTTCTCTCACTTCTTGTGAAGTGCTTTATCTGATGGCATGACCAAAGCACAGCTGATGCAATTTAAGTTCAGCTTAGAAACCCATTCATTGGTCCATGCACAAAACTCTAGAGGATAATTTCCAAGGTTGTGGACTCCATCAGCATTTCTCTGAGTATGACTACCACCAGCCTGTCTGACTATTCTGTTTTTCACTGACCTACTACCTCTCCGAAATAACTTCTTTGTATCATTCTGTCTCCCTGTTGCGCAAGTCACAAGAAGCCTGTCTATCAAAGCTTAAGGTAGATGTCAGCTATAATATTCAAAGCAGAAATGCTATAGGCAAACAAAACATACCATGTAGTCTGGGAAGTTTCATAGATTTCATAGATTTCATAGATTTCTAGGTTGGAAAAGACCTTAGAGATCATCGAGTCCAACCATCCCTAATCCCCATTAAACCATATCGCTAAGTAGATCATCCACCCTTTTCTTAAACACATCCAGGGATGGGGACTCAACCACCTCCCTGGGCAGCCTATTCCAGTGGCTGACAACCCTTTCAGAGAAGAAAGACTTCCTAACATCCAACCTGAATCTGCCCTGACTAAGTTTATACCCATTTCCTCTTGTTCTATCACCCATCACTAATGTAAAGAGCCCTTCCCCCACCTCCCCACCATCCCTTCTCAAGTATTTGTAGGCTGTAATCAGGTCTCCCCTCAGCCTCCTCTTCTCCAGGCTAAACAGCCCCAACTCCCTCAGCCGCTCCTCATAAGTTTTATTTTCCAGCCCCTTGACCAGTTTAGTCGCCCTTCTTTGGACTCGCTCCAGGAGCTCAATATCTCTCTTAAAGCGAGGGGCCCAAAACTGGACACAATATTCCAGGTGCGGCCTCACCAGTGCCGAGTACAGGGGCAGGATCACTTCCCTACTCCTGTTACACTATTCTTGATACACACCAATATCCTATTGGCCTTTTTGGCCACCTGGGCACACTGCTGGCTCATATCAAGCCGGTAGTCAACCAACACCCCCAGGTCCTTCTCCGCCAGGCAGCTCTCCAGCAAAAAGTTTAGCAAAAAGATATCATCTTGGTGGTTTTAGTGTGTGTCAACTAAAGCCCTCATAGCATTGACAGGTCTGGGGTCCGACCTTGTCCTTTGAGTCACTGCTGTGCAGGGTGTTCTCTTTTCTGCACCTGGAACACACATCTTGCATTTCTTCTCTTTTAGCAAATACAAATGTCGTTTCAACAGTCCATCTGCAGTGGTGATGTCAGTGATACACTTTGTGTATCAAGATGCCTTTGTGTTACTGATCTGGCTACCACTTTGCCTTCTTAGCTATCCATTACGCCATACTAACATCTTTTAACATATACGCTGTGTCAGACACTAGAGAAAATGTTACTCTCACACACACACTACATCAGACCTACGACTTCCAGCATATTCTCAAGTTCTTTTGGCTGCATTATCAGAATAGATGTCAGGCATAGGAATTCTTATTCACACATGGCCTTGCAGCAAGCAGCTCCCTACGATAATTTTGAGAGTTCCTGCATCACTTTGGATCCTTTTGTTAAAACGGGTTATTCCTCTATTTTCTGACAGATTATGCTAACAAATTATTGAGCAATTTGGGTTAATATGACTACTACATGAGGAAAGGACAGCAGAACTGTGTAATGAATTCACAAAAGAATCTCAGGGGACAACTTGAATCGATTTGCTGAGAGAGACAGGAGAATACCTAGCTGCATAGAAAGTTTTCTTTGCAAGTGACTTTGAATGCAACTTAGGTATATGTTTGGATGGCCACTGACATTTAAAAAGCACGCTCTTTTGGTAGTGTATATGTAGTCTTCTTAAACAAATATGGATGACTTTTTACAAATGAGACCTTTATAAGGTATGCCCGAAAAAGTATTCAACTCTTTATAGAATACCAGATACATTTCTCTTAAGAACTTTGCCATTCTGTTTTCAGGACAAAAACATCAACTAACTAGAGAATAGTATTTTCTTCTGTGAATATTGCCATGAAATATTAATACAGCAGGTCAGGAACAGTGATATTTTCTGACTTCTAATGTTGTCATTTATCCAGTATACTTATAAAAATATGTATTTTGATATTGTGGCTGATGTAAACTAATCCAGAATCACCAATCTATACCCTCTTTTCATCCTTTTTTAGTGCGGTTTGTATCAGGAAGCCGTTCTATGAGAATTGCATTCTCACCCATATCAATCTGCCAGTGTTACATATTCTGAAAAAAAACCCCAGTTTTTCACAAGAACTGCACAGCTTTGGTTCAGTTTTGGTAGATTTGGTATTTGAATGCTCTGCATTTGACTAGTCATTACTACTACTACTGCTCTGTAGAATGATGCTATCTTTCTGATTTCTGGTCATGTGTCTATACCCGGTAACCTCACATATCTTTCTTTGACATCTTTTTTTGGATTGCATCAAAAGTTGCTTCTAAAAAGTAAAAAAAAAATTCTAATGTAGAGGAGATAAGTCTTCCAGCATAAGAACATGTATGAGTGGAAAACTTCTTGTAGGCAGTTAGGAGAAACTGTGATCGTTTCAGTTTCTATTCCTCTGAATTGAGCATATGTGTAATTGAATACTTAACAGTTGTGCTTGGTTTTAGGTTTCATTAAAACTGATACAGCAGCAATTGTCCCAACTCTAGGGAATTACCCAACCCCAAGCACGTGGAAAATATGCCAAAATGTATAATATAGTACAGTGAAATGTGGCAAATGAGTTTACTTGGTTTCTGCTGGTTTAAATCAAATGAAGACAGTCAAAAAACAATTAATATGTCAGGTAGATCTTTCTCATTTTTTTTCTTTTTTTTTTGTGTGAATTTTCTTTGTATAAAGGAAGTGGAATTAACTGATGAGGAAGAAGCAATCAAAGCAAATCTAATGGTTAATGAGGAACTGCCTCCAGAAGTCCTTGATAACATTGTTCTTGACTGGTGGAGGAAAGAGCCATTCCGGTAATTGTAATTAGATTCTCTGTCTCTTTAATTAATCTTGGGAAGCATATCATCCCTTGTGTCCACAATTACAAATAACTATTGCAGAGATTGTTTCAATCCTCTTGTACTTATGAATCATGACTTACTTCTCAGTCTTGGTTTCGTTGCTCTATTTTGATTGATATTTTGACAGTAGTATAATGTTTCATGCACTCAACACAGGACTGGACAGAAGTACTTGTTGTACTTGAATTGAATTAAATCTCCTGAATAGCCAGGTAGTTTTTGTGGGCTTACAGGATAGATATGTAAATAAATCTTTTATGATTTCATGTAATTAATAAACATGGAAAACTGGAATCCAACTGTAACTGTTGGTTTCCATATATTGTAAATATTGTGTGGAAAGCAAAGACAAAGTACCAATGGTCTCCAAAACAAAACAGAATCAGGTTATCTTGCGCATTCATCACAATCTGTACTCCAGTGATATATCCACAACAGACTTCCTTTCATGAAAGTGCATCCATAACACTGTGATAACTGTTGGATAAAGAAATAAGATTATCGACTCCTAGAAAGCAGACTGGCTTTTTAGGATGTAATTTCAGCAGGGAAATTCCCTTTTTCCATGTCCTATCTATTCCATACATTTTCGTCCAGATCATATATGACAGCAGCTTGACCATTGAGTTTCAATTCCTAACCGTATGAAAAATGCCTTAAAAAGAATAAACAAGATCCTCAAATGAACTTTTGTTCTGTCAGCTCACAGAGGGGATGGTTTTTAATGGTGTAAAAATAGGGAGATCAGTTTTAGAAAAAAAAAGAAGAATGCACCAAAACAAAAAATTACCCAACATCACAGATAATGTTGTGATATTATATAAATTCAGTTTTGTCAGGGACTGTATAGCAGAGGAGAACGTTCATCATGATATATATCATGATCAATATCCTTCCCCCAACTTTTTCCCACAGCATCCAGGACCACCTATTCTTCCATCCACCCCCACTCCTTGCACCTTCTTTGGTTCTCTGCTGGTTTACAATGTATCCTATTAAGGTCTAAATTAATAAAGAGAAATATTAACTTATTAACACAACATTCAGCTTTACAGAACTACTCATCTAATTTGAGATTGTAAGAGTTCCAACAAGCCATAGAGTTTTCCAGACATATCAGACCTGTTTTTAATATCTGCAGGAAGGGAGATGTAGGTCATGCTGAGTGGTAAAATTCTCATCCTACACTAGAGAAGAAATTGTCAGGCATTTCTGAAAAACAAATTTTCAGACAACAAGCGTTCTGCAGCAGCTGTTCCAAAAATAATGTTTAGGGCACCTTCTATTTTTTTTGAGAGCAGTGGCTAAGAAGTAACTGATTTTAGAGTCACACAAGCGATACTGAGGACACAATTTATTTCGTTTTTTTAAAGTTATTTTTAAATAAGTAATCTCTGCACATTAAAGCCTCAGGAAATACATTTGTTAGTACCCCAATTAAAATACATAGTGAAGTATCAGTTTTACATGGTCAAAAGATAATACCTGAAAGTATTTTTAAAGTTTACTCTTAACATAGATGTTTAATAAGGGAGTTTAAAATTACTTTTTTCAAATTAATTGCATTTTCACTGTGTTGCACTTTAAACTACATTGTGTAATGATACATATCTTATTTTCTAATTAGATCCACAGGATTTATACTGGATGGTTTCCCTCGTACTTTAAGTGAAGCCCAGTATTTGTCAGAACGAGGACTCTGTCCTGATGTTGCAGTTCATATTCAAGTAAAAGAAAGTGATGTTCTTGACCGTCTTTTTCCTCCACGTCTGAAAAAATGGAAAGAAAGACAGTATAAAAAAATGGAAAATAAAAAGAAACTGAAAGACCTGAAAGCAAAAATAAGGGTAAGTTTTCAGTCCTGTCTACTTTTTTGTAATTTCAGCAGCACAGGTCTGAACACAGATTCTAAAACTCCCAAAGCAGTGAAGAGCAGACAAAGAAACAGGTATGCGAGCCAGGAGACACAGCCCCACACATTCACAACATCCCTGGATTGACCATAGGAACCAAAAAGAATTTAGGGCTTCTCTCCCTCTCTGTGCAATTAATTCATGCAGGAGTTTAAATATCTCTCAGCCCAAGAAAAGTGTCTGACAGAATGTCAGACATCTGGAAAGTCCTGGACAAAAGGCAACCAGATGGAGAGAGTGAATGTGGCCATAAAAAAATCAAATACACAGCTCACACACCGTACTATTGTTGCATCCTGGATTCCTTGAGCATGGGCTGTTGAGTTGATGTGCATGTCCCATAGGCTGACTTCATAGGTATTCTATGGTGTCTGTGTCTGTGTTTCCAACTATGATACTTTGCACAGAAATGTAATAGCACTAAGCCACGTTCTCAGCGCTGTTACAGCTGCACAGCCTCCCATTTGAACAAAGCTGTGCCTAATACTGAACAGGTTACAAGTTACTTGAAGTAACCTGAAACCTCTATGCAGACTTTTACAATTAGCACATGCAATATATTCAAGGTACCTAACTTTCTGTAAAAGTGAGATAAAGTACTTCACGGATACTATCAGAAAAGGTCTGAGCATAAGTTACTCCAGAGCAGCTGCCGCACAGGAATTTAGTACAACAGAATTTGGGACAAGGCTCATACAAGACCAGTAAGTTTTCTGCATTGCTTGTGCCAGAGGTTGGCTCTGAGAATGCTAATATAATCTGGGAAATTTAAAGTATTTTTTTGATTGAGTCTTTCCTGATGCAAGTTGGAAATCTTGCTGGAAAAGGTGCATTCAAGTGACCAGCCTACATTGCTGTACTTAGGTCACCCTGTAAGCAGTTCCTCTGATAATTCAGATGACAAATACCTGTGCTGTGGATTGTAGGGTCCAAACTTCTAATGAACAGTGTAGGCATCAATATGGCTCCTGAGGACAAAGGAAAATAACAGGTTCCTGTGTAAAACACATACACGAAACAGTGATACAAACTGATAAAAGCATTAAGAAGTAAGGAAAGATCAGAATTAGGATTTCCTGAGCAACAGTAATTTTATATTTTTGCTTATGTATGTTAGAAACATAGAATCATAGAATGGTTAAGGTTGGAAGGGACCTCAAAGATCATCTACTTCCAGCCCCCCTGCCATGGGCAGGGCCACCTTCCGCTACACCAGGTTGCCCAAAGCCCCATCCATCCTGACCTTGAACACTTCCAGGGATGGAGCAGCCACAACTTCTCTGGGCAACTTGTGGCAGTGTTTCACCACCCTCACAGTGAAGAACTTCTTCCTTAGATCTAATCTAAATCTGCCCTCTTTCAGTTTAAATCCATTGCCCCTTTTCCTATCCCTACATTCCCTTGGAAAAAGGCAATTGTATTGCATTATAGCTTTTAGCTACACATTGAGTATTTTTCCATAGCATCCAGTTGGTGAGCAAGCTGGATGGTGCTGTGAGAATGCAGCATTGCTGGGTGTACTGATATCCCTTCTTCTGTTACTAAAGCTGGAGGACATACAGAGAGTATCAGAAAAGCAGACAAACCAGTCGAATGCTACCTTAGTTTCCTTCTCCACTGAAAGAAGCTGGCAACATGACACAGAGCAGTGAGTAGACCTGCAGTGCGGTGTCATCCAGGAATACCAGTGTTTAGTCACAAGAGTAAAGAAAACTAGTCTGTACAGTTTCTTGCTGCTCTGCTTAGAATGCTCTGGTATCCTGGCCACTTCGCTTGGAGTTAACATGGATTTCTAAAATTCATAGAATCATAGAATCATAGAATGGTTAGGGTTGGAAGGGACCTCAAAGATCATCTAGTTTCAACCCCCCTGCCATGGCAGGGAAATCCTCCACTACACCAGGTTGCCCAAAGCCTCATCCAACCTGGTCTTGAACACCTCCAGGGATGGGGCATCCACAACTTCTCTGGGCAACCTGTTCCAGTACCTCACCACCCTCAAGGCAAAGAATTTCTTCCTTATATCTAACGTAAATCTGCCCTCTTTCAGTTTAAATCCGTTGCCCCTTGTCCTATCACTACACACCCTTGTAAAAAGTCCCTCTCCAGCTTTCCTGTAGGCCCCCTTTAGGTACTAGAAAGCTGCTATAAGATCACCCCAGAGCCTTCTCTTCTCCAGGCTGAACAGCCCCAACTCTCTCAGCCTGTCTTCATAGCAGAGGTGCTCCAGCCCTCGGATCATCTTCGTGGCCCTCCTCTGGACTCGTTCCAGTAGCTCCATGTCCTTCTTGTGTTGGGGACTCCAGAGCTGAACTCAGTATTCCAGGTGGGGTCTCATGAGAGCTGAGTAGAGGGGCAGAATCACCTCCCTCCACCTGCTGGCCATGCTCCTTTTCATACAGCCCAGGATACGGTTGGCTTTCTGGGCTGCCAGCGCACATTGCTGGCTCATGTTGAGCTTCTCATCCACCAGCACTCCCAAGTCCTTCTCCTCAGGGCTGCTCTCAATTACACTATTGCCTGCGCGTTGACATACTCAGTTTCTGTGATCTCAGTTCGGGTGACAGCATTACAGTGTGAAAAAACGGCAATTACAGGTTGAATCCTCATCAGTCCCACTGGCCTTAAGTAGAATACTTCTGCATATTAATTCCGAGTTAGGATTTAGCCATCAGCTATTTGACATGTATCTACTAAGTATGTATAAGGGACTATATTTAAAATGCTTATAACTTGGTCAAAATTGGACAGTTTTAAACAAGCATAGGCTGCAGCACACATTTAATATTATGGTCAGTCACCCCTTTGCCAAATGGCAGAAACCACCTATAAGTTTAGAAATTCTGTAGCTTACCAATAAAAAGATTATAATATTTTCAGTGTAATCAGAACCACAGACTTTTTTCACCACTAATCTCAATCTCAGAAGTTGCCAAATTAGTTTTACTAAAATTTACTTGTATGATCACCTAGTAGAGAGATATATCTGGACTGCAAAATTTCAAGCTGCACAGATAGTATTTTTTAACATTAAAAGCAACTAGAAACAGAGTTTTAAGGTGGAAAGAACAACATTAAGTCTAGGCCACATCACCAGTTCTCAGAGGAGCACTTTTATTAGCAAATATCATTGTCTTCTTGCGTCTTTTTTCACTACCAGGATGAGAGGATTGCTAGAAGAAGGGAAGAACTTTTAGCAGAACAAAAGCAAAAGAAACAGGAGGTAAGAAAACAAGCTAATAAAAAGATTTTAAGTAGAAGAGTGCATTCATATCTTAGAAATTTCTAGAGCTTTTAGTCACAGAGCTTTCAGGGCAATGTAGAACAGTGAAAATGCAATAGACTATCAGAAGCTTCTACGTTCAAAAATAATTCGACGTGATGTTTACATTGTTTCAGAAACTATTTACTCATGAATACTAAAAACAATTTTAAAAGAATTCTAAATATACGCTCCAATTCAGCAAAAGACTTACACATGTCTTTAATGTATCTAATTTGTAAACATAAAAGTAGCCCCACTAATTGCAACTGGGCATGTGTTTTAAGTACCCTGTCAAAACCATAGTTAATCCAGAATAGGATTGTACCAGGATTTCTGCTCAAACTCAATTATAAAGTATATTTATAAATGCATTAATGTTCTCCTTGAATGCTCAAGAAATTCTGTCAACTATGCTTTCAACTAACAAGCTTGTTTATAACAAAGTCCTGCCAAACTACAATACCATGTATGAAAAAAATACTCCTCTTATCAAAATTGAAGTGTAGCAATTTAGGTTTTTTCAGCACTCTTGGAACCTGGTACAATGCTTCACTGGATGTACTGTGTAATACTCTGTGTTTTCTTCTGAAATATGATTCTAAAATTTACTACATTTTTGCTTATGATAAAGGATAACACAAAATGAAGTTTTGTTGAATTAATGATTTTTCTAATTAAAAAAGAGACAAGAATACCATATGTTCCTTCGTGTATTGTAGACAGGAAACAACAAAATATTTTACCTTTATAGGCTTCAGCAAATAAGAAGCATTATGAAACCACTGAGGAGGAAGATGAGAATGAAAATGAATATGTTGAAGCTATACTTGAAGAAGAGTTTTTAGAAGAAGAAGAAGAAGCTGAAGAAGAACAGGAGATTGATGCTGTTGACCGCATAAAAAAGGAAATTGCAGAAAAGTTTGATTCAGAAACAGACAGTTTACAAGGTGTACAGGTACCTATTCCACTGCTTATTTTGTTAAATTATAGGATTGCATGATGCAAGAAGAGTTTTCAGTTTTATTTTAGTTGTCAAGTTCAAAAGGTATAGTGCTTAAACAATAGTGCTGCTGTACTCATGATCTAAATAGGTGAACAAGATGAAGGCTGTAGTGAGAAGGTACATACTTTTAAAAGTATGTAATTTATAAGGCTAATACTGTGGGGAAAAGAGCAAAGGAAACTTTTGGGTAGATCTACTCAGTCGTGACATCCTTATTTCCTTTTTGATAGGTCGGCTGACGCAGGCAACCAAATAGAGAGTCATAAATATATGAACAGCATTTGAAAATAATTTTTAAGGCAAAATTCTTATTAGACAACTCTAATTTTTTAATACAGTTCTTAGTAATGTAATTTTCTTGAAATCAGCACAATTACCTATGGTGAGGTAACCTCATCTAACTTGAGATATCTGCAACGTTAATGCCTACATCTAAGGCAGTAAGTAGTTTGGTGCCATTTACTATATACTAAGTATCTTACTTCAGGAGGAAACTAATCATGATTTAGAGAAAACTATCCACTGACCAGAAAGAGTTTACAGAAGTAGATGGCCAAGACATAGGTGTAAGATTTGCAAAATGAATCCAACCTTTACCAACACCACAAGCGTGACAGATTCAAGGGTCGCTTTATTTTAAGAGTTAACAGATTAAATGTCAAATGAATCAAGAATAAACTTGTAACATTCTTTGTACTACAAGGAAGCATGAGCTGTGTGAAAAACATTAGTGTTTTGTGCTCAGAGATTCACCTTTACATTAATTTTGAAAGGATGTGAACTGAAAGTACATTCAACTTCCAAAAGTGACTGTAAAATGTCATAATTTTATTGAACTATGCAATGCATATAATCATAGAATCATAGAATCACGTATCCCAGTGGCAGTCACCAAAAAGAATTTTAGGCGTTCTGAATGAAGCTTGTGACTAGTTTCACTTTTCTGAGTACAAATCGAATTTGCAAAATAGAATTGGAAAGAATTTAGGATAAGGCCCATGAGAGACCATAAACAAGAAACCCTGCTAACAGCCTTAGCTCTTTGCATAAACAATACAGTGCTTCATTTTAAAGCTAGTGGAATACTTTAGTCCTTGGAGTATTTTCCTCTCTCTCATTTGGGATCATATTGTTTGTTGCATTAGTAAACTGATGAAAAATTTGATCAGAAAAGGAACAAGCAATTAAGACAGTCAGCAGCTTTTGCTTCCCTCAAGAACTAAGTACATAAATCTCAGCAACAAGAGAGGTGACTAATGTTTTAGAATTTGTTATTGAGTTCTGCTTATGACAGTAAGTGGGAAAATCCAATGCGGTGAATCTATATAGATATTATATGTAAGCTGAAGAATTACACAGAAGTATTATCATATGATACAATTACATGTCGGGACTAGATACTACTACTATCCCCTAGTTACAGCTTACTCATATTTTTCCCATTATTTTTTTCATTCCAAGAACATATATGCCTTTATAAATATCTTAAAATAACTTATTATTTTTGATTAATTTTTCAGGATTTTTCTTTATTTTTCTCTGATTCTTTAATTGTTGGTCATCTTTGACATCGTGGAATCTTGGTCTTTTATGGAAAACTAAGTTATCACATTAAAACACAGTAGCACATGTAAAAGTATTAGGTTTCTACAAAAAAAAAAGTGTAGAAATGGATTGGGTTTATATTTTATAGTTGAATACGCTGGAGAATAGTAAATCACCAGATACTTCTCAAGCTTTAGCTTTATCATAGTAGATTCCTTGAAGTTAACTGTCAGATCATCTTTTTTTTTTAAGTAGTGTGATATAGGCTGGGTAATATAAATGTCAATGGGCAGGAAGACCAATTCTCAAATCAAATTTTGCTGATTTATGCTGACTGAGGACATGCTCAAGAAATCCTTGATAGTTCACAGAAAATCTTGCTGTCAGTCATTATTAAAAATCTGATCGTGTTTGTGATTATAATGTTTCATTATGTTTTCATTAACCAGGAAGAACTGGAAAAAATGTTAATACCACAAATCAAGATCAGTGGAGGACGGAAGCCTCACATCGTACGCTATCAAATATACAGCAAGCTGAATTCTCTAATGGAAAATCGTGCAAGCATTTTTGAGAAATGTTACCCCATAAGTTTGCCACTTGCACTTAAGATGCTAATTTTCTCATATAAATTTCCAAGTTCTTTTGGTCAGTGGGATCCAATCAAGGTAATGTTCTTAAATAGCTGAAGAATATTTTCAAGAAATAATGCTTCTAAAAAATATATTTCACATGAAAAGATATTATCAGACAGTAGCAACTAATACCAGAAATGTTTAGTGAAAACTACATTACTGAATCAAACCTACATCAGTAAATACACACAAAACACAGCAAGCATTCATAATAAAAGGTGTTAGACTTTTCAATGTTGCAGCTAAATTAAGGCTGAGAGGCATTTAGGAAAATCCATTATGTTAGCATTAGTGACATAATTAAAGGTGGCACTGAATTAGAAAGAAATGCCTAATTCTTAATGATCCACAAAGCACAGAACAACAGATCTTAAAGCCTTCCAGAAGCAATGAAAACAAACTGAAAAGATTTGGGCTTTGAGTTTGTAAGAAGCCACGCAGGTGGCCTCCAACCCTAGCCATGGCAAAAATTAAATCAACAAATGTTAAATATATGTAATTCATCATCAATAATTCTTTGTGGTCAAAATTTACAAATTTACAAATTTTGAAAAGCAACAAATCTAATTCATGGTATTTTACGAGAGATCTGGAAAGTTGAGGTCAGAAAGCACTCATGTCTGTCCCCAGAAGTGGGCTTATACAGTTTTATAGATCGCAAGTGAAATTTTAGCAGTTACATTTTTTTGGTTTAGTGCTAGAAATAAAGCAGGTTAGATTGTGAATAAATCAGAAATAAAAAGGAGGATTGATTTAAAAAAGCCCGGAGAACAAGATACAGAAAATAGGAAGCTCTTGAAGGAAACGTACTTTGGCCTTCATTTTACTATGCTAATTAATCAAGTAACTTTTATTTGCTTTTGTATAGCCATTGTGTTGGGTCTTCACCTGTTCCAGATCAGGTTTATTTTCTTTAACTTTGGCAATCAGAATTGTATACCAATCAGCTCTTATTATGGCTTTATATAATCAAAATACTTAAAATGTTTTAGGATCAGAATTGCCTTTTCCGTGACTACATCAAATTGGCATCTAATAATCTAGGGGCACATTAATAGAAGCAAGTATTTCTTCTTTTCTGTCATTTCCAATTACTGAACCCCAGCTTATATGTGAAATACTTAGTAG